TATAGACTGTGCTTGACCCTTGTTTTGACTGTAATCGACCTATGTTTAACTGTGCTTGACTTTTGTTTTGACTGTAGTCGACCTATGTTTGGACTGTGCTTGACTTTGTTTTGACTGTACTCGACCTATGTTTGGACTGTGTTTGACCCTTGTTTTGACTGTACTCGACTATGTTTCTACTGTTCTTGACTTTTGTTTTGACTGTACTCGACCTATGTTTCTACTGTTCTTGACTTTTGTTTTGACTGTAGTCGACCTATGTTTGGACTGTGCTTGACTTTGTTTTGACTGTACTCGACCTATGTTTGGACTGTGTTTGACCCTTGTTTTGACTGTACTCGACCTATGTATCTACTGTTCTTGACTTTTGTTTTGACTGTACTCGACCTATGTTTCGACTGTGCTTGACTTTGTTTTGACTGTACTCGACCTATGTTTTGACTGTGTTTGACCCTTGTTTTGACTGTACTCGACCTATATTTAGACTGTGCTTGACCCTTGTTTTGACTGTACTCGACCTATGTTTAGACTGTGCTTGACCCTTGTTTTGACTGTAATCGACCTATGTTTAACTGTGCTTGACTTTTGTTTTGACTGTAGTCGACCTATGTTTGGACTGTGCTTGACTTTGTTTTGACTGTACTCGACCTATGTTTTGACTGTGTTTGAACCTTGTTTTGACTGTACTCGACCTATATTTAGACTGTGCTTGACCCTTATTTTTACTGTACTCGAACTATGTATAGACTGTGCTTGACCCTTGTTTTGACTGTAATCGACCTATGTTTAACTGTGCTTGACTTTTGTTTTGACTGTAGTCGACCTATGTTTGGACTGTGCTTGACTTTGTTTTGACTGTACTCGACCTATGTTTGGACTGTGTTTGACCCTTGTTTTGACTGTACTCGACTATGTTTCTACTGTTCTTGACTTTGTTTTGACTGTACTCGACCTATGTTTCTACTGTTCTTGACTTTTGTTTTGACTGTAGTCGACCTATGTTTGGACTGTGCTTGACTTTGTTTTGACTGTACTCGACCTATGTTTGGACTGTGTTTGACCCTTGTTTTGACTGTACTCGACCTATGTTTCTACTGTTCTTGACTTTTGTTTTGACTGTACTCGACCTATGTTTCGACTGTGCTTGACTTTGTTTTGACTGTACTCGACCTATGTTTTGACTGTGTTTGACCCTTGTTTTGACTGTACTCGACCTATATTTAGACTGTGCTTGACCCTTGTTTTGACTGTACTCGACCTATGTTTAGACTGTGCTTGACTTTTGTTTTGACTGTACACGACCTATGTTTGGACTGTGTTTGACCCTTGTTTTGACTGTACTCGACCTATGTTTCGACTCTGCTTGACCCTTGTTTTGACTGTACTCGGCCTATGTTTAGACTGTGTTTGACCCTTATTTTGACTGTACTCGAACTATGTTTAGACTGTGCTTGACCCTTGTTTTGACTGTACTCGACCTATGTTTAACTGTGCTTGACTTTTGTTTTGACTGTAGTCGACCTATGTTTGGACTGTGCTTAAATTTGTTTTGACTGTACTCGACTTATGTTTGGACTGTGTTTGACACTTGTTTTGACTGTACTCGACCTATGTTTCTACTGTTCTTGACTTTTGTTTTGATTGTATTCGACCTATGTTTCTACTGTTCTTGACTTTTGTTTTGATTGTATTCGACCTATGTTTCGACTGTGCTTGACTTTGTTTTGACTGTACTCGACCTATGTTTGGACTGTGTTTGACCCTTGTTTTGACTGTACTCGACCTATGTTTTGACTGTGCTTGACACTTGTTTTGACTATACTCGACCTATGTTTAGACTGTGTTTGACCCTTGTTTTGACTGTACTCGACCTATGTTTCGACTCTGCTTGACTTTTGTTTCATTGTACTCGACCTATGTTTCGACTGTGCTTGACTTTGTTTTGACTGTACTCGACCTATGTTTCGACTGTGCTTGACTTTTGTTTTGACTGTACTCGACCTATGTTTCGACTGTGCTTGACTTTTGTTTTGACTGTACTCGACCTATGTTTCGACTGTGCTTGACTTTGTTTTGACTGTACTCGAATTATGTTTCGACTGTGCTTGACCCTTGTTTTGACTGTGCTCGACCTATGTTTAGACTGTGCTTGACTTTTGTTTTGCTTGTACTTGACCTATGTTTGGACTGTGTTTGACGCTTGTTTTGACTGTACTCGACCTATGTTTCGACTGTGCTGGACCCTTGTTTTCACTGTACTCGACCTATGTTTAGACTGTGTTTGACCCTTGTTTTGACTGTACTCGACCTATGTTTCTACTGTTCTTGACTTTTGTTTTGATTGTATTCGACCTATGTTTCGACTGTGCTTGACTTTGTTTTGACTGTACTCGACCTATGTTTGGACTGTGTTTGACCCTTGTTTTGACTGTACTCGACCTATGTTTTGACTGTGCTTGACCCTTGTTTTGACTGTACTCGACCTATGTTTAGACTGTGTTTGACTCTTGTTTTGACTGTACTCGACCTATGTTTCGACTGTGCTTGACTTTTGTTTTATTGTACTCGACCTATGTTTCGACTGTGCTTGACTTTGTTTTGACTGTACTCGACCTATGTTTCGACTGTGCTTGACTTTTGTTTTGACTGTACTCGACCTATGTTTCGACTGTGCTTGACTTTTGTTTTGACTGTACTCGACCTATGTTTCGACTTTGCTTGACTTTGTTTTGGATGTACTCGAATTATGTTTCGACTGTGCTTGACCCTTGTTTTGACTGTACTCGACCTATGTTTAGACTGTGCTTGACTTTTGTTTTGACTGTACTTGACCTATGTTTGGACTGTGTTTGACCCTTGTTTTGACTGTACTCGACCTATGTTTCGACTGTGCTTGACCCTTGTTTTGACTGTACTCGACCTATGTTTAGACAGTGTTTGACCCTTGTTTTGACTGTACTCGACCTATGTTTCGACTGTGCTTGACTTTTGTTTTGACTGTACTCGACCTATGTTTCGACTGTGCATGACTTTGTTTTGACTGTACTCGACCTATGTTTCGACAGTGCTTGACTTTTGTTTTGACTGTACTCGACCTATGTTTCGACTGTGCTTGACTTTGTTTTGACTGTACTCGACCTATGTTTCGACTGTGCTTGAACCTTGTTTTGACTGTACTCGACCTATGTTTAGACTGTGTTTGACCCTTGTTTTGACTGTACTCGACGTATGTTTAGACTGTGTTTGACCCTTGTTTTGACGGTACTCGACCTATGTTTCGACTGTGTTTGACCCTTGTTTTGACTGTACTCGACCTATGATTCGACTGTGCTTGGCTTTTGTTTTGACTGTACTCGACCTATGTTTAGACTGTGTTTGACCCTTGTTTTGACTGTACTCGACCTATGTTTCGATTGTGCTTGACTTTGTTTTGACTGTATTCGACCTATGTTTCGACTGTGCTTGACCCTTGTTTTGATTGTACTCGATCTATGTTTAGACTGTGTTTGACCCTTGTTTTGACTGTACTCGACCTATGTTTAGACTGTGTTTGACCCTTGTTTTGACTGTACTCGACCTATGTTTAGACTGTGTTTGACCCTTGTTTTGACTGTACTCAACCTATGTTTCGACTCTGCTTGGCTTTTGTTTTGACTGTACTCGAACTATGTTTAGACTGTGTTTGACCCTTATTTTGACTGTACTCGACCTATATTTCGACTGTGCTTGACTTTTGTTTTGACTGTACTCGACATATGTTTCGACTGTGCTTGACTTTGTTTTGACTGTACTCGACCTATGTTTAGACTGTGTTTGACCCTTGTTTTGACTGTACTCGACCTATGTTTAGACTGTGTTTGACCCTTGTTTTGACTGTACTCGACCTATGTTTAGACTGTGTTTGACCCTTGTTTCGACTGTACTCGACCTATGTTTCGACTGTGCTTGGCTTTTGTTTTGACTGTACTCGACCTATGTTTAGACTGTGTTTGACTTTTGTTTTGACTGTACTCGACCTATGTTTCGACTGTGCTTGACTTTCGTTTGACTGTACTCGACCTATGTTTCGACTGTGCTTGGCTTTTGTTTTGACTGTACTCGACCTATGTTTCGACTGTGCTTGACTTTGTTTCGACTGTATTCGACCGGTTACATAGCAGTATTTAGACAACCGCGTATTCAGACTCGTCAGTATTTAGACAAATACTGTTTCAACGAATCAGAATCGAGACAAAGAAGAAATAATAAATAATTATGATTTATTTTGGATTATTTATGTCTTTTCTCGATTCTGATTGGTTCATACAGTATTTGTCTAAATACTGACGAGTATGAATACGCGGTTGTCTAAATACAGGCTGCACTCCACTCGACCGTACTATGCCCTAAAATTATCAAATTTTATACCGAAGAACATGAACAAACTTTAAAGAAGCAAATGAAAAATTTTAAGCAATTACCTGTTTTTAAATCAAATTTTGAGACAATCACATTCCTAGAGTGTAGAAGTCCAATAAAAAATCTCTTTTTCAGACCAACAGACTCATCAAAAAAACTTGCAAGCTATCCCCAAATTGCTCAGGCTTAAACTTACCCAAGTAAGATTAGAGGTGTTTAGATAAGTTTAGATAAGATAAACTAACCCTACCTCAATACCTCTATGAATACAATAGACTCGGACGTTTGAGATCAACGGTTCCATCGCCCAGTTCTCCGGACCTTGTTCGATGACTCGTGGCTTTGTCCGATGAAACTTTGTTCCCTTCATAAAAAAATTTGTCTTCCTTCACAAAATATCCACGTCCGCATTTGCAATCAGTTTTTTGCTCGACTAATTGCAATAATTGGCATTTGTTAAATGAACCATAAAAAAATATGGTGCTTGTCTTTTTATTTTTTTTACATGTCAAATGATATTTTTTAATCATTTATGATCAAAGTGTTCAAAAATAGCCACGACTATTATTGGTTGAACTTCGGTTGTTTTTGAACACCTGCGGGCCGTCTGAGTGTTTGAAGGATTGGCTGTAATAGTCATAAAATGATATGACCATAACTAAACCATAGCTAGAACAGACGCTCTTATATGGTTGAGACGCTTTTAATTCTATTTTTATTGCTTGTCATCTCGGACCAACCTTTGCTTATTATCAGGTGGCTTTGAAACCGTAAGTACGTTCTTTTCATCTTACGAGTGGCCTAAAAAGCTAAGCCCGCGGCGGAAATTAATTAAAACTATTTAGTATAACACAAAAGTTTGAGTTGAATTGTATTTTATTTTTTTTCTGAGCCGACATTGAAAGGAAAAACGTGAGTGGTTTTGAAATTGAAAACGTTGGGCAACCGAAAAGAAAAACTGCGGTCATTGACAAAAAAATGCTTTGACAAGCTTACTCCCCTTTTTTGAAAATTTTTGGGCTTAACTTAAATTTTAAGGTTTGAGTGGCTCAAAGTGGGTGAAAGCACCTCAAATAATTTACCTCTTGGGTTTGGGTACTCAGTGAGTCAAACTTCCCCAGTGAGAAAATGCGATATTGTAATTGACTACAAAAAAATAGGTCGAGACAATTTAAATATACGAGAAGGCGTTTAACTTTGAGGTTTCAAATCGGTCTCAATATTAGACTCTAGCCCAGTACCTTCCAGAGTTTCGGCTGTAAATAGTCTCATAGTTAACCTAATTCAGTATACTTAAAACTATGCACTCTGGGCTGGACTCCGAACTTCATTTTCACATTAACCAGTCCAAAACTACCTCACATTAAAAAAATTGTCTTCTGGCTGATCTGGACGCTGGAACTCACTTCTGCTCGTCAAAGCTGCCAGCACAATGAATATCCAACAGACGTTCCTTTGCCCTATTTCGCAAATCATCACACTATCCGTCGTTTGCAAAGCGTTCTGATACTTTTTGTGGGATCATAGGGCTATTGCAACCAAATTAAGAAAAAAGATATCAATTCACCTGACATCTGATGGGTCAAGCGGCACAAGATTCTTCTACCAGCGAGTTCAATCCAGCTCAAGAGTTCAATCCAGCTCAAGCCTTCCATTGAAGCTACATTAGAAGATATCAGAAACTGACAATTGCTGAAAGTGCATCCAAATGCCGTGCTTAATTGGCTTGTATGGTGCAATCAGACTTTCTGGTTAGCCTAATAACAATGAGGCATCTGCCAGGAGCGACTAAGGCTTCCAGCATTGTTTGCACTTTAAGGGACCTTTTTAGATCTAGCTCATTCGACAGCTCATGTTCGATTTATAAGCTCACTCTTCCACTGAGAGCGACAATGAGGGCAGTGGTACCTTCAAAAAGTCCATACCAATGCTTGGAGACTAGATCATGCACAGATTGAGGGCTGATGAATTCTAGAAAGAAACCATTTCAAATCGAAGTTTTCCTTGCATTTTACTGTTTTTTTTTCATTCTTGAACTTCTTCCAGGGTAGAAACGCGTTCTTTCAGTAGCTGCTTGATCTAGCCAAAGGTGAAATTAGAAAATTATACGGCGGGCGCTTCCCTCTCAGCATATTCACAAAGAAGTTTTCACACATTCCCTAAGAAATTGCTACAAATTAGCGATCACATTTTTTGCCTTGCTCCAGACAATTTGCACTGCTGAGGGCTCTTTAAACAGTGTCAAACTACTGAAAATCTAAGATCGCTCCAATATCGTTTCGGAAACTTGACTCTATTGCGCATCCACAAAAACGTAAAATTAAAAATCCACGATGCTATTTGCAGATTAATGGCTTAAAACCGAAGAATTAATTTTGTTAATCTTCTTGTATTTTGTTACTGCTGTGGTTTCAGTTATCTTACTTATATTTTTTAATCAGCACTCGAAAAAGTCATTTGTCCGCCCTTGAAGTGCTCCATTATTTTTTCAAGTATCCATTGGTAATTTCAACATAAATTTATCAGATTTTTTCCCCAACAGCAGATTTTTTCCCAATGTTCATCATTTTTTGACAAAATCTGAAAAGATTGCGGAAAAAGTTTATGGATATCATAAACTTTAGGTTTATTCGTTTATTTTTTAGATTGTTTAGAGCAAGTAATCGGCTATCTCTAGATGTCGCCCTCATCGCCGGAATTGTACAAGACACATGTGTGGAAAGATTATGTCTCGAACACATTCATGGCAAACGAGACCCATTTCCCAGACACTACTCAGAAACCAATCACGACACTAGATCGAAGGTAAAGTCAGCCGAACATAGTTTTTAAATTTTGACAGGGCTTATTATTAAATTTTAAAATTATGCATAAATCAATATTCTTTGAAATCGTAAAATTATGCATAAATCAAATACTTATTATAAAAGTATTTTCGAAAATGTTTTCTTGAGCCCTCTTAAGAAAACATTTTGATATTTTTCGTCAGAGTAAATTCCGCATTCTTTCACGGTTTAACGAACTTTTAATGCGCATTTTAACATAAACAATCTCATGCAGTGGAGGTGAAAACAAAAACAACAGAAAACTTTACAATAAACCCGCACTCAAAAAAAAAGAGAAAATAATAGATTATAATGGATTTTTATTGTCAGTCTCCATAAGTTTCAAAAAAAGAGATTATGATCGATAAAAATAGATTATAAGGCAACTACCTTTCGAAACAAAAAAAAACATTTTAATCGATTAGAATTTTTTTTTGTTCTCTTTAAACAATCCCAATCTTTCTCTTCAAATTAAAATCAAAATAAATTGGTTTCGAATGGTGCAAGGAAAAGTTTTTCATTGCTTGTTCACAGTTGTCATCCTGTGTTTTTATCTTCAAACATCTCATATTCTTCGAAATATTATGCAAATGGTGTCGAAATTCTAATATCATAGGAGTCAGTTATGCGCAATGAAAGCCCCAGTTAACAGCGTGTGAATTTTTAGAATGCCATTCCAAGTGTGTAACCGTCCTCAACGCCGAGGGATCGCCATTTGGATCTTGTGCCTCTGATGCAAATGTTGGTTGCTCTTAGTATAGCGAATGAAATTCTACATCTCACCCAGCACATGACATGACTATATGGGCGGTCCCATTTTGATGCCAGACCATCTGCTAGTCGTTTGAGGAAAAACGTGAACTCCGGTGCCAAAACACCATCTATTGAAGTGACAAGTGGAGTGAAAGACATGTGCTTTTCTTCACAAGCTGGTCCATACTTATTTTTTTTCTCAATCTCTGCAGTTTTCAGTACATTCATGGGATTGCGGTTTTGGTAAGATGGACCGTCAGTGTCTGTAACACGGATGTCGAACGACGCAGCCGACTGTCTATCCCAAACCCCTCGAGCTGAAAGATCTGCAATTAGTGCCGGGGTTCCATTTTCTATATCTGGTTCTTTTACGACAGGTTCTCTTTTCACATCTTTCCACAAAATTGAAGCAAGATCGCCCACTGCGTCTCTTATTTCGTTGTGTCGTAGTGTTACCAGTCCGCCCTTCTTGCAAGAAAGTGCATGCTGTAAGTCAAAATCTTGTTGACATCCATCGCATCTCGAGAAAGAACGTTTGAGTGGTTTTCTGTACCTGACACATAGAGCGTCTCTGAACTCTGTGGCTGACAAATCAAAATTATCTTTCAACAAGGGTAGCGAAGTTAGCCACAAGGAACAGTTGTTGTCGATTATTCTCCGGATCGCTCGTTTCTGATCTGCTGGTAAAACTGCAAGCAATTCATCGAGTTTATCTTTGTCCACAGCATTTTGTTTCTCCTCGTGATTTTTTCTTGCTTCTCTCATCTTTGTTTTGTGTAGTGTTTGGTCGAAATCATCTTGGTTAAGGATCGAACTCACGAGACAGTCGGTTGCTTCACGTGAAGTGGAAAATGCTAGTTTGGAACCTTCTATTGGATTTCGTACACCTAGTCCCCCTCTTTTGACAGGAAGTGAATACAAAACACGATCTGAGTGTGTGACATTAGAAGTTCCTAGTAAGCTTGGCAAAAAATTTTCCTCCAACATCTTCTCGATAGGAGCAAACAACTGCGACGTATCTTTGACTACTCTCTGGAAAAAAATTCCATTCGCATTGCAGTGATCTTGTTAATCCAACTAAAGCAGCTTGAGGTTCTTTTTCTGCCACTTTGGACAACTCGCTAAGACAATCCAACCATTCTTGGACCTTTTTTGTAGTGAAACGAATTTTGCCTTCATCAGAGCCAATAAATCTGCCCAAATATCTTCTACCTTCAACTATTCTGATGCCGAACCTGTCAAACAATTGATGAGCTTTTTCAACAAAGTTCGGGTGAAAAAGCTTTTGCTTGGCTCGGGGTAATAGCCATACTTCGGACCTTTTTCAGTCAAAGATGACAACCATTCAACCAGGTTTTCTAGTGCGCCAAGAGCTCCCGAATCATCTGCATACCATGTTTGTAAATACTTATCTCGGTCTTTGAGTGATTCAATCAATGGCATCAATGAAACCCCATAGAATAACATCGCTAGTGGATCACCCTGTGTAGTGCCTTCACTACTGAAAAGAAGTTCTGTCGTTCCTGCAACAATTAGCGGCGCATACCCTCTATATGTGTTGAACAGAAATCGTGAGCACCTTGGCCAAAGTATTCTAGCATTCCATAGAGCAGTTTCCCTGTTCAATGCATTGAATGCATTTGAGGCATCCATCAATAGAAGACCATGTCCGTCCTCTTTGGTGCTATTAAACAACTCCTCCACTGCGTGTACAGCTCCTTCTATTCCTGCTTTCACACCACAAGCTAGTTGTTGAGATCCACAGGTTTCTTCGAGATCTTTTTTGGTCGCTTCGGCCATACATTTACACATTACTCTTCGCAAACACTCACCTATGCCAATTGGTCTAACTCCGGGGCACTTGTCCAAAGCGATCAGACGACCTGACATCAATGCTCGTATTTGGTTCCATGGAATAATTTCGTTAGCTATCTTTGTGATCAGCGCTGCCACTTCGTCTCTCAAAGCCGAACTGTGTCCTCCAAATCGAAGAAATGCGTCTTTCCAGTGTTCCGAATCTGTTCCTGAAGGTCCGGCTCCACCGTGCATTGACCTCGCAAATTTTTCTATACAAGAAGAAGTGATGGTTACTGTTTCTAACTCAGGCAAGCTGTCTACTTGTATTCTTGCTTCTTCTTTTGACTGTTTTGCTACGGGATGCTTCTCTTTCAGAATGTCAATGACTAATTTTCTTGTTTTTGTTGTGGGATCAAGAACTTCGTCATTTGGATGGAGCAGACCTCCGCCAGATCTGCTTGTCAACCAACGCATGGCAGACCGAACTTTCCCTTCCATCATCATTCGTGCAAAAACCACTGCGGTGTGCTCGTCTTCAGATCTGTTTTTTTTCATAGGTTTCCTCGGTTGTTTTTGTGAACATCGTTTGGCTTCTTGTAGTAGAATATTGAACTTACTATTGTCCCAGTCTTCAAGCCGTCTTCCTATCAAAGCTCTCACATCACGTGTGGTTTTTATCATTGGGTCCCGCTGTAAGATTAATCGGCTGAAGACAAGAAGTCGTTCTGAACATTCGTTTTGGTTCAATCGGCAGACTTCTTTCGTTAAAAGATCAACGTATTTACGGCCAATGTTTCCCCCCGGGACTAAATACAGTTTGCCTTGGAGGTTCACACTCACATTCCATCTATTCCCCCATTCAGTTTCTTGAACTTCCTTAGATATGTCGAGAGACCCTCCAAAGGCGTCAAACAAACAGTTTGTGACGTTTTCTGTAATGGGTACGACAGGATAATGGTCTTGCTCACTGAGGGTCATAACACGAAGCTGTTGAGTCGCCCCAGTATGTTGTTCTTCAATTTCTATTTTGTCTACGGTTTCGTTGTATGAATCCTCTTGTTCATCGTCACTAACTCTCTGCGACGCTGAAACGGTGTCCTCTTTTGGATTTTCTTCCGAGTGATCACGAAAACCAAAATAAGACGGCGGTCTTATCGCTCTGTCGCTTCTCCTCATCATTTCGTGTCGGGGTTGGCAAACTCCTCAATAGTTGCAATAGTTGCGATAGTTGCAATAGTTGCAATAGTTGCAATAGTTGCAATAGTTGCGATAGTTGCTATTGTTGCAATAGCTGCAATAGTTGCAATAGTTGCAATTGTTGCAATAGTTGCAATTGTTGCAATAGTTGCAATAGTTGCAATATTCGCAATAGTTGCAGTAGATGTCAATGTTGTTGTGGTTGTTGTTGTTTTTTCCGTTTCTTTTCTTGTTTAACAAGACACGTGCTAAATTTTTTTTTATTTTTTTTTTTTTATTATAATCGATTATTTTTTGAAAAAATGATTTCTGAAATTTTATTGAACTATAATCCATTTTAGTCGATTACAATCCATTTTATTCAAAAAACGTATTCGCTTCATTTCCTTCTATTTTTGTTTTGTTTTGTGTGCTTTTCAGTTGGTTTCTTTTCATACTGTTTACTGTTTACTGTTTACTTTCTTACTGTTTACTGCAAGGACGGATTTAGGGGGGGGGGGGGGAGCGGACGCCTTTTTTCAGGGATTCCCAAAGGGTTCCTCCTTTTACTGTTTTGAGACATCTATATTTGGTGACAGACCCTTTAACCTTTGGCGCCACTAAAAACTAATTTTGAGGGGGAGCGCGGGCCAAAAAAAAACGCGATTTTTTGGTGAAATTTTTCCAAAAAAATGCCTAAAAAAGCCATTTTTGGCCTGTTCCTTCAAAAGATTGCCTGCGGCGAGCAAAATTTGGCCAAAAATGGGTCTCTTAAGTGCTTTGGGAGAGCTCGAAAAATCCATCCGGCCCTGGTTTACTTGATTTTTACTGTGTTTTCATGCAGAATAGCTAAATCATAATCCATCATCTTATTTTGACAGAAAACGGGATTATAATCTATTATAAAAGATTATAATAGATTATAATAGATTATAAGAGATTATAAGAGATTATAAGAGATTTTCGAAAAAATTATAATCAATTATAATTGGTTATATTTTATTAAAATGTCACCAAAATTGTTATCATTATAATGGATTATAAATCTTTTAAACATCTAAAATTGGCGCTTATTATTAATTATAATTTTGCTAAAAGTACGATTATAATTATAACATAATCGATTATTTTCTCTTTTACTGAGTGCGGGAATTCTCTCAATCTGAGTCTATTTACGACAAAAAGTATTGTAGAAAAAAAAATTTCTCAGATTGTTACTAGATTTTGGTTTATTTTATAAAAATTGGACCTAAATTATACTCTCAAAACGGTCCAATTCACTTGATTCTGAATTACGCAAAATTTGCAGAAAAAATGAAAGAACTGCTGCTAAAAAACTTTTTTGGTCTTTTATTATTTTTCAATTGACCCAAATGAAAAAAACGTGATAATTGTGATTAAAAAATAACAAGCAATGTAAGAACGTGAACAAAACAAAACAAAATACAATAAATTTTCGATAAGTGAAAACACTGTTAAATTTTTAGGCTGGTCGAACTTTTGTTTCAACTTTGGTCAAAGAAAAATTTTGGTCGATTCATTTAACTTGAATGAAAAAAAGACAATCGGTCGACATGTACAGTCAATACAAAGTTTGATTGCCCCAAACAGGGAAAAGGACTCCTTTTTTATTATATCCAATATTATGTTAATAAAACGGTTAGGAAGTTTTTAGAAATTTTTTGTGCAATGCGAACTCAAAAAACTTAAGTCCAGTGTTGAAACTAGCAGTCATTCACGCTTTTTACCCTTTGTATTCTACGAGTCAAACCTCAAAACTCAATTTTGAGCGTGAAAAACATTAAAGATTTTTTCTTGAAAAAAATCATGACCAAGTATATATATCACTTCGTTCTTTCACTTTTAGAAAAAATCTTTGAAAGAGCGTATGAGATAAATAAAAAAGACCAGGCCCAGTGCCCCGACTTATGTTTCGAACTTAAAAGCCGAGCAGGTGCAGCTTTGTTTCTAAAAATCCGTGGTCCCTATGCAATTTAAAAAATCCAAAAAAAATACAAATAAACCCTATTTTGATCGGGAAAGTCAAAGTTTGGGGTCGAGAACAGAAGAAACGTACCCAATGTTGACCGAAAAAATCGTAACATAAGTTGAGCAAAGTCTAAACAAACAAGAATCCAAATTACGATAAATAGATATTCAACACAATCAGGTTGACTTTTTATTCTCGCCGATTAAAACATACTTAAGCTGGGTCTAATAATTTCTGTAAAAAAATTTGAGGCAGTTGAAACACCACTTTTTGGTTGAGAAAGTCGAAAAATATCTGTGCGGGGTCCATGAAATAAGTTCTAAAAAAATTGGTTGAAAAAGTCTAGAATGTCGAAAAATCAAATTTTGGCCTAGAAAAGTGTAACGTTTTGCACTGGGTCGCGCAAAATCGAACACTTTTTTTCTTGGGTCGAGAAAGTCGAAACACGCCAAAACTCGGTCGAGACGGTCGAAGAACACTAATTGTTGGTCGAAGAACATTGTTGGTCGAAGAACATTGTTGGTCGAGAAGGTCGAAACATAAATCGAGCGCCTCGACATAAGCAGTTGATCTTGAATTAAGATTTTCAATGTTCTTGAATTACTCTTATTCTAATTGGCGCTCATAAATGTGATGTAAATTATTGTATTTTTCCCCCTTCTTGAAAACGAATTTATTACTAGAAAGTTTTACGATTATTAGGTTCGTCCGGTATAAAGAACATGTCGGTCACTTGCCCAAACAGCCTTGGGGGAGGCATAGGAGCTACGCAGGACTCGGACACATGGCAGTCCCAGAGCACCTCCGGCCGAAAGCCGAGGCCCCAGTCTTCGTGGCCAAAGGACACAAGCACTTCGGCAGTGGCATTTTCCCTTTTCCCTCCTTCTTAGGTGAGAACTAAGAAGATCAAGCTCTCCAAAAAGCGCCCAAAATTGTCATTTTTTAACAGTTTTTTTTAATTTGCCTGCGGCGCAGATAATTTTCACAAAACATTGTCGTTGAAGTGTATAAGGCGTGCTCAGGAAATTATTTCGGTCGATCTAAAAAAAAGACAACGAATTTTCGAAAAAAAATAATGACCACCCCTCCCCCCCCCCTCCCCTCTGTTCAAAAATTAGGAGCTCAGCTTTCCCCACAATACTGAGGTTTTTGCATTGATTGCGGGGAGCAAAAGGGGTAGAAACCGAAAATTCGATGCAATCAGTCATTAAGTACTATGATTTTAATACTAAAATTGGTCTCTTTGGATCATTTTGGAACACTTCATAGATAATACTAAAAACTGAAGTTCACTTATTCAATCGTGCATGGAGCTGGATTACCTTCGTTTTTTTGTTCTGGACCGCGGAGTTACAAGTATTGATGCGAATGAGAGTGCAAGACGTAGAGGGTATCCAGAGTCCCCGATCAAGAGGTCGGCAGAGATCCCTGCTGCATCCAAGCGCTACACACCTGCAAATCCGGTACACATCTACAGACTAAAAATCAATTTCTGATTAAATTCTGTGCTTAGTGGTCTGAGAAAATAAAAGTTGGTCGTATTTATAATAAAATCACCGTGACGAAAACAATAAACCTTTGGTAATGTTTGATCTTATCCGAATACAATTTTTAACCGTTTTGAACGAAGATTGATAAGCTATACAAAAACATCATGATTTAAAAAAAAAACTGTTTTAAGCCGCATAAAATTTATTGGGACAAAATCATTTTAGGACCTTGTAGAAGTTTTTGCGATATAGTTTTGTCGCACTCTTCCGTTATCAAAATTATTGTGTACACTCTTTGCAACGCTTCAGTCATTTTTTTGCAATTCCTGTGCTTTCGCCTAAAAATCAATAAGCACGTCAAAAAAGCCGCTTGGCGCACTTTCGAAAGCTTTAACCCAAAAATCACATTTTCTTGGCGCACGCTCTCACCCATAAACTTAAAAATTAAAGAAAAGCTTGGAAGAGCCAGAGCCAGTCATGGTTGTTCTTTTTTCTTCAGCAATTTTTTTTCCACAAAATTATTTTTTTGTTCCAGCAAAATAGATGCATGAAAATAAATATATAAATATAGAGCGAATGAGTGTTTCATCCACTGCTTCGGCTCCACGCTGCTGGTTATGGAGATGATGGTCGCACTAAAAATGGCTATGCGTTTCAGATTGTGCATACCAACAAGTCAGTAGATGGCCGATTTAGCCAGGCAAGTATTATTAAGTTAGAACACAGCAAAAATCTCACTAGGTTTTGGATTTACACACCAGAGTACCGTCAAACTTTCAGCAAAAACAAACTTTCAACAAAGATTATCATCAGAAAATTGTCTTCAGCATTAGGTATCAATCAATATTTACCATAAGTTCCTAATTTTGCAAAAGAATTAAGAATGTATAATCTGCTTTTTAAAAAAATTATGCCTAGATTTTTTAAATTTTTATCTAATTTATATGGGTTTCCGGTCAGTAAAAAAAGGTTTGGTATGGTTTACCATAAATTGATTTTTGTTTTGTTTTGCAGGAGAACCTGAACTACCCTGGAAGAATGAATCCTCCAAGTACAATTGAGAAGACAGTGACGTCTGCCAGAACTATGGACGACATCATGGCAAAATACCGCCAAACAACAATTGCAGGATATCAAAAGTCTAACAAACCAACTAATATTGATTGAAATCTATGTATTATCTAGTGAGCTCTTTACATCGAGCGTATTACCTAGAATTACATTGTCGGGGCTTTAAATTTAAAATGACACTTGAAGCTATTCGTTAAAAAGAAGTAAGAGATGAGCCTTAATATCTTATTAACGAAAATCTTCAAATGATCGGAGAACCCTTTATGCCCAAAGCAAGGAATGCGGGGAAAATGTTGTCAGTTAACCAGAATTTATTAGTCAACAATTTGGAGAAAATAAGCAATAAAAGCAGTTAATTTTGATTTTTTTAAATTTTTTTTAAATGGTTTACTTGGATGAAGTTTTTTTGCTCATTCGGTCCTTCGCGCATGGAGAATAACCCCCCCCCCCCCCTTCCTCCATCCAATCACCTTTAAAATATTCTGATTCCCACTAGTTTTTGCTAGTTATCTTTCAGATGACCATATTTGATATTATTTTAGAGCGTCTTACAAATCAATGATTTGTAATACTACACCAAAAATCAGGGTATTTTGGTAGTCATCCAGATTCAACATTGTCTCTGGAGTACATAAAAAATGAAAAAAATTCCTCAAAAAATATTAGAAACAAAATCTGATAGAAACGACAGAAACGTAACTAAAAAAATGTTATTAAATATATGCACTAACTAGAAAAGACGAACATTAGAGAAAATGCGTAGCTTGTTAGGTTTTCACAAGCGTGTTCTGGCCTTTTGAAGCAATTGCCGCAAAAGTCACTGGATTACACTGTTGAGCAGCGCAAAACTAATCGAGTTCAAAGACAAATTCTAGAATCTAGAGATAATTTTTTGGAGCCCAATGACAAAATCCGGCATCCATTGACAAAATGCTGAATCCAAAGATGAAAATAACAAGTTTGAGGGAGAATACTGCGAAATCCAGCAACGATATTTTTGTTCCGACTATTTTGGGAAAAAATTTATGGAATATTTGTGCTCGGAGTGGTTTTCTTTCTCCAGACACATTTTGCAGCTGTAACTCATTTTGACAACACTTTCTTACATCATTCGAAAACTATTGTTGTCTCTACCTCAAATTTAAAAATATGTATACTTCATGTACGATAATTTTTTTTTTGAATTAATGGAGGTTTACAGATTGGTCAATTTGGGATAATTAACCCGCGATTTCTTTCGTGCTATTAACGCGTAAGCGGAGATTGAATATGTGTTATAAATTATTCCAAATTGGATGAACTCATGCTTTTTTATCTATTTGTTACTTTGCTATATGCAAAACAAATCTTAGTGTACTTTACATATCGCGTGGGTGGATGTTTTTTTCTTTTGCTTTAAAAATTTCATTAAATAGTTTGATGTAAGCTACTCCATCGGAAATAAAATTCTGTCGGAGCATTCAGGGCTTTGCCCTAATACAAGCAGTCGTGTTTGGAATTCGTTTCAACTGCCAAAACACTTTTGTTTCTGGTTTCACAAACAACAAAAAATCTTTAATGGCATTTTGCTTAGACATTGTTTCTTATTGGATACCATTGACAAGTGCTTTTAAAACATGGAAATCATTTTTGGAATTCAAAAACAAACTGAGACTAATTATAAAACCCTCCCAGTCAAACACACACACTCAAACAGACACATGAGACATATATAATGAGTAGATGTTACAAGCTATCAATACTTCATACTAATGCCAGCTTGTCAAAAAAATTTTAAGTAAAATGATATATTTCAGTCAATGGTAAAAGTTTTGTCAAGTTTTTCAATTATAAGTTCTAGACATGATAACTCTTAATTAACTCAAAAAAACAATAAATAGTGTTAACTTATTATTTAAAAAAATATGGAACATAAAATTGCATTAAGTTAGATCATTTTCACTAAAGACAATCATTTTGAAATGAGGTAGTTATTGTTAGGACTAAAATTTAGACTACTGATTCAAATTATGAACTAGTTTTAGAAAAATTTCATTTAGAAACTTTTGAACGTATCAGAGGTGTTTGATTCATATTTTGACCACGTCGGTTGAAAACGCAGTTCCCGTCTCTAAATTTTTACGCCATCAACTTGCTCGAAAAATCAAATAAAAAATAAAACAAACCAAATACAAAAACCGTTCAAAGTATAACGCGCACAAAGGAAAAGATCTAGCACAAATTCCAAAATTGGGCAAAGAGAAAATTGAAAAATAGTTGAACGCAGGGGCGGATTTAGAGGGGGGGCTACCCTTCCTTCAGGGATTAGAAAACTTATAAAGACTGATTTTGAAGGTGACAGCGTGCCAAAAAAACCCGACTTTTTTTGTCAAAATTTTCCAAAAAGTGCCTAAAAAAGCCATTTTCGGCCTGTTTTTTTTCTGAAAAATTGCTTGGTCGGTAAAAAGGGTATTTTTAGTTTTCTGTAGTGCCCGGAAGCTCAACTGGTGGAAATAATTCAAGGTGGAAAGTTATAAGATATAGCAAACCAGGGGCGGATCTAGGATTTTCTCGAGGGGGGGCGAATTTTCAAAAAGTTTTCGAAAAGTTTAACGACCTTTTTTTTGAGATCGACCAAATTGATTTTCCGAGCTCCCGCAAATTACTAAAAAGCCCCTGTTTTGGCCAAAATTTCCGCGCCGCAGACAAAATTTTAAAAAAACAGGCCAAAAGGCGTTTTTAGGCACTTTTTGGAAAATTTTGACCAAAAAATCGCTTTTATTCGGCGCGCGCTCCCCCTCAAAGTTAATATATATTGGCTGCAAAGGCGCCTTTTAAAAAACTTTTAGGGTCCGTCTCCAAAATGGTATCTCAAGATAGTACAAATCTCAAGATAGTACAAAGTATAGCTGAATAGGCTGCAACACTCCAAACACAGGCATTTACGATCGCGTTGCTGACACATAAAGTCTAAGCCTCATCTCGGGTAGAATCACGAAGGTTTCGTCTGTCGAAGCATGGCACAGTCTAAATCTTTGAACACGTTCGAAAATCTTTTCATATGTTCGAGTCTGCCAAAACTTAGTAGTTTTTGATGCAAGTCGAAACATGCTCCTTTTTTCTTCGATTCTTAAGAATTTTTATCTGAGATACTCATGCTAAATTTGAACACTTCGAACCCAAGACTTCACATCTCGTGTGAGGTAAAACGATAAAAACATTTTCTAAAATCTGAAATATCAAGTCCTAAAATTTGCGTTGATGCCAGAGTTTGTCTATAAAATGTGTTTAAGCACTGTATACATGAATCATTTAAAGCTACAGAAACTTATTATACGCTTTTGACAAATTTGCTCTTTTTCACGCGCGCTCAGCGGGTTTTCTTAAGTAAAAAAGATGTCGACCAGTTTCAGTTTGAAAATGCGCAGCAGTGAAGCATTTTTCTTGCTTCAAGTTTGTTCATAAGTATTTTTAAGCAAAATTTAAACACATTTAACATTTCAATTCAACATGAAGCGCTATTTCACTCCTAACAAGTTGGTATTTTATGCTTTTTCTTGCTCGTTACTTCTGGTTTTTTATTACATGATTGCTCTAAACATTCTGACTTTCGATAGTTCAACTTTAGGAAATGATACTTTGTTATCATCACCCAAATCAAAAAATCGTGAGCAAGAATACGTTGTTGAGCTTCAATTCGATTCTGTCTTGGCGTTGATTGGTTGTTTTGGCTCAACTTCTGAGACGTCGTTCGATTGGTCAATGGTATCTGGTGTTGCAAATTCTAACCAATCAGCTTTTTGGGTTTTGCCTAAATTTTCCGAAAAATTGCAAATTAACTTATTCAGAAGTTGCGTAACGTTTTGCCAGGCACGACATCTATCGACAGTTATTTTAAACACAGAGCTCTGCGCATGTTTCAATGAACACGGCGACGTTCTCAAGTTTTTTCCGACGTATTCGAAAAGTTTTTCATGTGATGATGTCATGAACATAACAATGAAAAGAACGAAAGGGCAGAAGAATAAGAAGCTGATTGTTGGAGCAAACGATACGTTGGCAGTTTACAAACAGCTGGTCAGAATCCCCCCAACTATAGGTATGATCGATCTGATTTTATCAAACTTTTGTTCTGAAAACTCATAAAAGGCTAGCAGCCGCATTGTAGAAAGTTGACACAATGTTTCCGCTTTTAAGGCGAGTGGAGATTCTTCTCAGACACTTTGACGACAAAGTTTCAGACTTCTTAAGTGTATATTATATGCTGGTTTCTATTGAAGTCTGATTAACTCAAAAAAGACTTGTTAAGTTTTATCAGTCAAAATGAATCAACCATTACTTAAGGATCTTCTGTACAGTACAAAAAATCAGAGAATAGTTCTAGTACCTCTAATAATTCTAATAGCAGCAAAGGAACAGAGCTTTTTCTTCGTCTTTCAAATTTTGCTTAACATACTAATCCACTCATATGTTGTTGTTCTGACTTTCGTAACGAAAGTAACGGAATATTTGTGTTCGGGGTGGTTGTTTTTCTTCAGAGAAATTTCGACTTTTCAACTAGCCATTTTTGACAAAATTTTTTATATCATTCAAAAGGTATTGTTATCCTGAGCTTGAACTTGAAAAGTTATTTCACCTGTGATTATTTTTTATAAAGTTATGGGAGTTTGAAGATGCCATTTCGGCCAATTTGTGACAATTAACGAGCGATATATTTCGTGCTATTAACGCGTAAGCGGAGATTTAATCCGGTTTAGAAATTGTTCCGAATTGGTTGAAAGAAGCATATTTGCCGTGATTGATTTGTTAAAAGGAGCGAAATCGATCCTTTTGTACTTGATATGGCGTGTGGGGGATGATGTTCACAAAAAAATCTCAAATTTCAGAAAAAAAATTTCGTTTTTTTATTACATTTGATGTTATTACTGCTCCATAGACCTTAAAAGGCAGTCGGAACATTCAAGGCGTCGCCCTGCTACGAGCAGTCTTGTTTAATTATAAAATAATCCGTTTTTTCATCGATTGTTTTCTTACTTGCAAAAAATAAAAAACAGAAAAAGTAATCTGTCACTGACACAATGTTGATAAACTTTTTTTGAAATGCTCAAACCCGATTTGACCAAAGAGCTAGTCATACACTAGCTCAACGGTGGCTCATACACTTTATACATTTAAGACATTGCATGAAAACTCTATGACTAGCATTGTTCCCTATTCGGAATAGTATGACTAGCTATCCTCCTAATCAAGTTTTAAGGTGTTAAATGCGAAGTATCTGACTAAAATGATAAAAATTATATTTGAGTTCCGCTTCAAATTTAGCTTTAATCCTGGAACACGATACACTATTTTTTTTCAAATAAGAACAACCCATAGATTAAGTGGCAATAATTTTTCAGATAAATTGCTCCAGAAGACTTGGATCTAAGCTGACGCAGGGAAGAGCAAATAGACATATAGGAAAAAAAAACAACATGGTTTGTGTATATGGCTAAAAAGATCCCGTACTGAACTTTTTGTACAATTGTTCGTCTGACCTTTCATTCAGCAGGGAAGAGAAGATTTTAGGACTGTTCCCGCATTATGCACTTCTGCTCAGAAATGAGCATACGTACTTTCTTACAGGCATGATCGTACCAGGAATTTACATGGCCAGACCTGAGTGGGACTTGTTCATGCTTGCCGCAGATTTGATTATTCTTGCCTCGAACATGATAAAGCCTGACTAAAAACTTGTTAGCTTATGATTAATTCAGAAATAACTCAGAATAGTTCAGATGTGGACATAATCAATCCTGGTTTTAACCGCGCTTTTAGCGGCGCTCGAGAACACATATTATATACAGCGTTCGAAAAGTTTTTGGAGAACATATGAGATCAATAAATTAGTTTTTTCAGCAAAGCATGCGTTCATTTATTTATAAAATCAAGTGTAGTTAAGTTATATTGTCTCCATTTTGATCACTTCTTGACAAAAAAACCTTCAGATCCCAATGCTTCGCATCAAATCAAAATTACAGGAGGGTTTAATTGAGTTTTGTTTAGAAACGAAACTGATAAAAAGTAGGAAACATAACACATAAATGAATAAGGGCTTTGATCAAAATTTTGATCCCAGGCTTTTGCGATCGTATAGTTACGTCACGATTTTTGCCACCGACGCGACTGGCGCTTACAAGCTCTGCTTTTCTCAGAAGATGCAGACCATTTAGTTCTGCTGCAACTTTAGTGACCAACGTTGAGACTGCGCAACCGGTTCGAGCTCAAAGAGCGTGTCAAAGTAATGGGACTGTATGACCGAACGTTTTTTCATGAAGTACAATTTTTTCCGCATTTTTGTTCGTTTACGGAAACGATGACACTGAATAATACACACACACACACACACACACACACACACACACACACACACACACACACACACACACACACACACACACACACAAATAATTATTTAGGACACTGATGGCTTTACAAGCAATAATTGAAAATTGTCTGTGTGATTGTTTTTAGTTTTGGTTTTTTAGAGAGAGTTTTTGAAAAATTTTAGCTCAAAATTTGCTGAAATTGGCATATGAGACACACAATCAAGCAGAAGAGTCCGTCTTGGTACGTTGATATAAGTTAGTTTGAGGATCAAATAACATTAATTCAGTACAATTTCTCGTAAACATTCAAGTTTTTATATTTCTTAAGATTTCTCTTACAGTTTGGAAAATTGATCCTGACTTGTTATAGTACATGTAAAAACAGACTTTGAATGTGAAAACAGAAACTGAATGACTGCAAAAAAATCTCCAAGAAAAAGTTAGCATTGTTTACACGCGAAATCTTAACTGTTTGTTGACAGTTAAAACAAAGACAGCTTTCAACTTTCGACAATTCGCTGCTTGCAAAGAAAAAAGAGGCATCTTCTATTTTCAAAATATTTTAAACAAGAAAGGTTCCGAATGTCCTTTTTCGGTAGTCTACAATCAAATGAGGCATATTATGTATTCCAAACTAACAGTTGTGGCAAAATAAAAAAAGTAGAAAGTTTGTAATTGTTCTAAAATTTTACCATGTTATTGTTAAGATTCAGAGTTAGAGCAAGTAGGACTAGGGGATAGAGGTTTGAGAGTTATCTGAGGTTTCAACTGAGGAGAGAGAAGAGATACTGATTGTTGAAGAATGAATTGAGATTGTGTTTTTTAAAATGACACGACAAACTGAGCATCAAATAGTACCAGTTAATTAATTACCAGATAATTAATTAGTTTATCAAATACCAGCAGACCAGTTGACCTTGTCTGAGTGCATTGAGTTTTATACCAGTTGACCTTTAATTAGGTTTCTATTGCTCAAGTCTGACCTTGAGCTTGGTCTGGTATTTCACTAGTCTGGCATTGAGCTCGTCTGTCCTCAACACCCCCACTCAGGCTGAATTGGCTTTGTCCAATGTCAGGCTGCAACCCATCAGCGTTCGACGATGTTGATCCACCTTTGCCTTGCTCAGGGATTTCGTCAACAAGTCAGCCTCCATGTTTTCGGTTGGACAGTACTCGAGCGCAAATGTTCCATCCTCGACCCGCTCTCGGACAAAGTGATACTTGACATCAATGTGCTTTGTACGCTTCTGCATTACGGGATTTTTGCACATCTTGATGCAGCTCTGGTTGTCCTCGTTGATCACAGTTGGACCATCACACGTCATATCCATCTCATTGAGTAGGGATCGTAAGTAGAGGCCTTCCTGAACAGCCGCTGCCATTGCTTGATACTCAGCTTCGCTGGTAGATATTGCTGCAGTAGGTTGCTTCTTGGTACTCCAGCTGATTGCTGCTCCTGACCGCTGCACATGAAAACTGTAGCCTGTTGTTGACCTTCTGTCATCAACGTCACCAGCCCAGTCAGCATCTGCTGAACCATAAAGGTTGAACCCATCAGGATCTTTGATGTAGCACAGCTCCAGATCTTTGGTTCCTTTCAGGTATCGCAGTACTCTCTTAGCAGCCACCCAGTGTGTTCTCCCAGGATTCTCCAGAAACCGTGAAAGTTGAGTCACAGTAGCTAGGATGTCTGGCCTCGTTTGCTTGGCTATGTACAATAACGAGCCCACTATGCCTCTGTAGTCCTCACGCTGCATTGCCACTGCTTCTTCTGAGCCCGCTCCAGGGCAGTCCTTCTTCGTCAACTGAGTGCTGATATCAGCTGGTGTCCCTACTGGTTTGCAGTCAGCCAACCCAAAGCGCTCCAAGCAGTCTTCAATGTAGCGAGACTGATTCACAGTGACAGAACCAGGTGCCCGTTTGACCTGCATTTTCAAAAACCAGGCTAATGGACCGCGATCATCCATCTTGAATCGGTCAGTGAATCGGTCCCTCACCCTGTCAACTTCTGCTTGCAGTTTGCAGCCAATGATGATATCATCCACCCATACTAGAACATAGATCATAGCATCATCCATTCCCCTCATCGTGAACAAACAGAAGTCATTGGTGCTTCGAGTGAAACCAGTCTCCAGAAGAAACGTGCTCAGCGTCTGGTACCAGTCCCTTCCTGCCTGCTTCAGCCCATAGATACTGCGTTGTAGCAAACACACTTGGTTGTCCCCGCTGCTGAACCCCTCGGGCTGTTCCATATACACAGTTTCTGTTAACGGCGAGTTGAGGAAGGCTGACTTCACGTCCATCTGATGAAGTACAAGATCATCTTGCGCTCCCAAAGCCAGTAGTATTCTCTTTGTTTCTGGTTTACAGGTTGGCGCAAAGGTCTCATTGAAGTCCAGTCCTTCCACTTGCATAAAACCCTTCACCACGTATCTGGCTTTAAACCGCTCCACTTGTCCCATTGCATCTCTCTTCACAGCAAGCACCCAGCGTCCAGGAATGACCTTGCGAGAATTTGGTCTATCAACAAGTGTCCAGGTGCCCATTGCCTTCAGTGACTGCACCTCCAAAGCTATAGCTGCTAGCCACTGCTCCCTTTCTGGTCCAGATACTGCTTCCAAGTAGCTTCTTGGCTCTTGTGCTATCACTGAAGCATGAGTGTAAGCCAGTCCGTATCGGATGGGAGGGTTCCGCGTTCTAGTTGACCGCTGCTCTGGAATCTCTGTTGGCC